TTCTGTAACCGTGGAGCGCAATAGTGTTGTCCAGCACTGTGACGCATTGTGCAAGCAGGTCACGGAATGAGGCAATGGGGCTGTCCTTGATCTTCTCAAACTCAGGTTTTGCGCGCAGCCTGGAGCCGACTTCCCACGCCAGCTCGCACAGTTCTGGTGTAGTAATCTTGCATTGCGGATCTGGCAGCTTGAAAGTGCACTTCCCGTGAAGGACCACAAGATGCGTAAGTCTCTTGTATGAACGCTTCGCAGCTTCATCCCGAACCGCTATACTTCATAAGGGCCTTCAAGCTTGGCGGCGAGGTAGGCCAAGTGGATGTGGTCTGTGACCGGAAGCAAGATGGCGAGGTCATGGGAGCTAATCTGCTTGGACACCTCGGAGATAAAGGATTTGGTCAGCATCACGATGCCTCCCCGCTTGGGGCCAAGTTGCAGTCGGTGTGTTTGCTGCATTGGTTTCCCATCTGAGCCCAGAAAAGGGACTTCCGGCTGGATGCATAGATCTTCCCACTTGCGCTGGACAGGGCGAGGTGCCTTGCGCACCCATGGGTCGTTGTCCCAGAGCGGGTCGCTTGGCTCGAGGCCTGTGGCGCTGGCTTGAGGTCCAGCAGGGGCGGCAGTGCTTGGCCCTGTGCGACCTGCGGATTGATTGGAGTCAACTTCCATCGTTCCTACTGTGCCTGCAGCATAGTAGACATTGGGAAATCGGTTGGACTTCACTCGAAGGAGATACCAGTCACGGATGTTGGCCGCAAAGACAACGAAGTCGGGAGGCCCCCTGCTCGCGCCCAAGTATTTCTGGCCTCTCTGCGTACTCGGGCAAAGAGTGTGGCATGTTGCCCAGTGGCAAGCTGGTTGTCATGAAGAAGGTAGAAAATGTCATGAAGACGGTAGAAAATGTTCGCAAGAACATAATAGCCACAGAGGTCTTGTGGCATTGTCTGGTCGACGAAGTCAACTGCAATGCTGGCAGAGTCCAACCCAACCTCACTCATCAGTTGGTGGATCAAAGGTACATAGATCCCAAGTTGATGGATCGGTACCGATGCAATGAAGGTGGATTCTCTTCCTCGCCTGTAGCACTCAAATTGAAGCCAGTGGTTGTTGTGGATGATGAACCAGATGATATGGTCGAAACCAGTGTAATACAGTGTAATCTGGGAGCAAGGCATTGGGAAACTCGAGAGCTCTGGTGACAAGGTTCCAAATGGCTGGAGCACAGAAAAGGGTGTCAGGCTGAATGATTCTGGCAGCCTCCAGGGAGAAATCCATTTCGTCTGATGCCATCCACCCACTGTAGTGCGCATGTGTTCGAGTCTCGTGGTGATTCGCTGAGCTGCTTCTTCAGCAGGAGTTGGAGGGGGCCGCGGCACTGTAGAAGAAAGTGGCCGCAGTCGCACTGGAAAGGCAGCAAATCAGCTCTTTCTGCCAGATCAGGTGTTGGCTTTCCCTTCGAGCAAGGTAGATCAAGAATTGAGTTCTCAATCTCGAGGCAAGCTGGATCAGTTGTGGTGAGGCATTATAACTTCCCCAGTCTTCGATCGAGCACTCCATGGTGAGTTGGATGATATCACGGAAGTGGTCAGCAACACCATGGAAGTCTTCATTTCGAAATTGGTCAGCGATGTCAAATCTCTGCACCCATCGTTGAACGAGTTGCCAGCTGCAAAGGTGAGGAAGGTAGTTCTCGGACTCGCTTGAGGTCGTGAGTCGATGTGGCCCGAGGTCTAACAGGCGTGCCACAATGAAGGTGGCTCTTGTATGCCAACGCGGTGGCATCTGGACAAAGGTAAGGCGCGCAGAGTCTCCAACGCGTTGAATCTCAATTGCCGCCCAATGATCATCCATCAGCGCACAAATGACATTGGTGGTGTTGTTGAAGAGCATGCGTTCGCCAAAAGGTGACAGAGTGAACTCTCCATCGTTCTGGTTCCAGTACACAGGTGGAGTGAAGCGGAAAGCATCCTTCATAAACATAATGTTCTGATGCTCCAGAGCTCATCAGATGCAATCCAGCCGCGCGTCACACACATGTATTCAGTGCGCGCTTGGAAATTTGCCCCTGCTGGGAGCGTTGGAGTGGCACCGGATGCCAGGTGACCACCGCCTGCGCGAATCTCATGGCTTCTCTGCAAGTGGAGGAGTGTGCCCTGTTGGATAAGGCCCTGTGTGTTGGCATACTGGGATGCCATTGATCTGCTGAACACAGAAGAGCTCATCTCCAAGCCTGAAGGTTGGCAGGGACCTGGACTCAGCAGCAATGCAAGCATGCGCAACGTCATACTGCGGTGGGATGATCACTGCAACTGGACATTTCTCCTCTTCGGTTGTTGAAGCATTGTGGATGTGGAGCACTTTGGAGGTATAGGACACTTGCTCGTATTGGTCAAAAGCAGGGTGGTGGAGATGACTTCATCATCACGAATGGTGGGCCTGATAGCGCCCAACAGCTCCTCGTAGTTGGCCTCACTGCAGCTTAAGGAAAGTGCTCCTGGCAGCTTGTGATGCAGGATGTGGACTCCAATGCAAGACTTGGAATGCTCGAAATCAATGGATTTCATGTTGTTGAGCAAGTCGATGAATGGCTTACAGCTGGCAAAATCAGCAAGTGATCCCGGTGCTTGTAGTACCACAGTCACATCACCATCGGCATCCATGGGAAGTGTCGGCGAGATCTCGCCACTGAAAGGATGGACTTCAAGGAGACCGTTCAAATTGGCACGAGCCGATGGTGCAGGCATCAAGTTGCAATTGCCAACATTCTTGGGTTGCCGCAAGAGCTTGGATCATGACGTTGCAGGGCATCGAGCACTGCAAGGAGTTCTTCAGGTCCTTGAAGGGATGCCTTGAGGATCTTGGTGAAGGTGTCAACCGTGGTTGCCCGAAGCACAGCTTGATGGTCTTCCCCAAAGATGGAAAGGCAAACGAGCCATTCACCTTGTCATTGATGACCTTAGTGGAAATCCAACGGTGCAGGCTGCTCACAGGACAAAGACGGACAAAGGGACCTTGTGCGAAAGGGCAGCATTGGTTGCTGTCAGACGGTGCTCCCAAGCATCTCGCATGATAGCGACTGGATCAATGGCTTCAAGCATGATGGCATGAAGTCCAACACAAAGGCACAGGATACTTTGGGGAACCGTGATGGTATTTCCCACAGCCTTACAAGCTAGCGAAAGCTTTCCTGGGGGAATGATGTCACTGAGGGCGCCAAAAAGGCTACAGAAATGTGCCGGATCCAGAAAACAGAAGCCCTCACTTGTCTGCTTGAGGCATGCAAAAAGACACTCTTCAGTCGAATGTGCTCAGGCGCAAGAGTATGCTGTGTGCTATATGATGCGCGCAAAGTTGCAAGTGGCTCAGACATGCTGGGAACGCGAAGCTGAAGGCCGGCAGTCGGACAAGGCTTTGGGCCTACCTTGGCTCTATTGGCCGCTGGCAGGAATTGCGGGTCAATATATACTCAGAGGCACTAAGTCGAACTTGTTCCTGCCACACACTTGGCAGATGGAATTGGTAGCATCTGTCATGCCATGGAATGCGTGGCGCAATGGAGCATGGAAGCTGAAATCCAAGAGGCTCAGAAGGAGTGTCAGCACGGATCCAAACATACAGCCACCTGGAGCGAAAGTGATTGGAAAGCTCATGGTAGGGCACGATCTGTGTCCAAAGGGTCTTGTACCCCAAAGCATGCACCACGCTCTGTACAAGTGGATAGTGTGGATGAGATTGAAATTCATCAACACACTCTGCAAACACAAGCGCAGGTTGCTGCACGAAGACTTGCTGTACCGCTTCAATGAAACTCCAGCCGTTTGCGTCATGCAAACCTTCGGATTTGGACCAGCTTTGGCATGGTGGAGACATGGTGCACATCAAGTTTAACTGGCTTCGATGGACGCACGGCAGCGATCTGTCCGCGACACTTCCGACAATACCCAGCTTAGCAGTGGGGTTCCATGGCGTGTCAAAACGCAGCGGGCAGCTCATGATTTGCATAGCATGTTTGATTCCACACAAGTTCATGGTGACCTCATCAATGTCCACAAACACTTGTCGACCAACAACGAAACCAACACCTGAATTCGGAAGCCACTCAAGGCCTTGACTCCACCCTCCGAAAGCACCGCAGAAAAGGTGGGTGCAGTCCCAGGCATAGTTCGCATCCATCTCAGCTCTGAAACGCAGGGATGTACTGGCTGCGAAATTGAAGACCTTGGCCTTGGCTGAATGCAGTAAAGGTCCGTGGCAGACCACATGAACTCCAGCGGCTCCTTAACGCCAGGGATGTTGATGCAAACCTGCTCAGGCACATCACCTCCAGGTCGGAATCCAACCCCCGGTTGAAAGGAAAAGGGATGAACCACAACCCCCTCACCATTCAGATTGAGGACTTCACCCACAATGATGGCGCGCTCGCCCAGCATGACAGGGAAATGAGGGGCCCCAACACCATGGAGGATCGAGCGAAACATTGTTCGGCGCGTCTCCGCAAGGAGCAGATCTGCACGGTCCAGTGCAGCTTGCGCAGCCATGGCAAAATCACTCGGATCGGGTCCAGGAAGCGTCACCACACGTGTGCACAGGGAGAGGTGTGGTGACACCTCCTCTTGGATGCCAATCGGTGCTCGCGCGCCCAGTTGGCCCTGGGCCCCCGTTGGCCCCAGCGTGAGGGCTTTTGATCCCAGCGGCTGTATATGTATATACTGTATACAGTATATATTTGCTGCTTCGCCTGGAGAACCAACTCTGTGGTCCAGTACAACCTCACAAAATGTGCCTTGAGGCCAGTTGCAGTCCCACTGTGAGTATGATACACACACACCATATATATATATAACCCCGCCGAACACCTTCACCACCGCGCATCCTTTGGCGTTCTTTCTTGATGCGCGTTCAAACTTGCTGCGGTGATGTATGCATCCGTGCTTGCTTCGACTACAGTATTCAATCATCCTTCACAAGTGCCGCGCAGTCTCGATCCGCAACAATTGGGTAAGGCGGGGGCCGCTAGCTGAAACTCCAAACGTGCAAGGAGTGCAAAGCCTTGTGCTCAGTGTGTTTGGCTTTTGTTTTCATATGATGCTACCTCTCCCTAAGAAAACTCCAAAGCAACTCAGACTCAAACAAACTATAAATTAATTGAATACAAACAACTTGAGTAACTTGAGGACAGATAAAATGTTGCACAAATAAGAGCTGCGGAGAAAGATGCTTGTAGCATCATGCTGTGCGATCGTCCCTGTACTCAATGAGCTGGATGCCCAGAGTCACTGCGCGCGTGAGCACTGAGGTGGCGCAAATACACTGACTTGGCCCAACCTGCACGGAGCCACAGTGTGGCCTTCTTGACCCTCTGCGCAAAAATGTGCCAGAATCAGTTACTGTAGCTTCGGATCTTACTGAGCTATTTGGACCATGACCTGCAATCAGCGGGATCAAGTCAAGAAAGCTAATTGGCGTCAGTTGGCTGGGGGATGGAATGACCTACCCGGTGAATAAATAATGTGTAGACATTCCCGTCTGTCAAGAAGTTAGCATGTTTTTCACATGTTGCTCATAGGCTTTTTGTGCACATGTTGAACTCAAAGGTTGCGTACTGTAGTAGCAAGAGAAGTAGCAGCTCAGTAGCAGCAGTAGCAGCAGCAGCAGTAGCAGTAGCAGTAGCAGTAGCAGTAGTAGGAGTAGTAGTAGTAGTAGTGGTAGTAAAGTAGTGGTAGTAGTAGTAGTAGTAGGTGTAGTAGTAGTAGTCGTCGCCGTAGTAGTAGTAGTCGTCGTAGTAGTAGTAGTTGTTGTTGTTCTTGTTCTTGTTGTGGGTGTTGTTGCTCATCTTCTTGTAGTAGTGAATGTTTTTGTTGTTGTTGTTGTGGTCGTGTTGTTGTTATGTTTGAAAGGGTTTTGTCATGTCGCATAGTTCCTTACAGTCCATCTCTCCCCCAGGTTCAACTTGAAATTCCCCCATCTACTATAGGCTGTCGCCTTCGTCGTCGTCTTGGTTGCCGCACCGTGTTCGTCATCGTGTTCCTTGGGCTGCTCCTCCCTCGTCGCCTGCGTTTCGCTTGTGTTTCTGCGCGCGTGTCGCCTGTGTGTTGCCTGCGTTTGGCGTCATTGTTCCATCGATTCGTCGCATACCTCATGACCTGCTTATTCCACAGAAACTGTCTCCCCCACCTGGCTTGTATACACCGAGCCACGATTTACACCAACCATGGTTTACGCCAAACCACGGTTTACACCACACACCCTTTACAACAACCCCGGATTACACCAAGCAGCGGTTGCTGGAAACCTCCAAACCAAGGTTTACACCAAAGTACGATTTACATCAATTTACACTAGTATTGTAAAAAACTTTCATTGGAAAGAGCCTGTTTTCTAAATTTGAATATCGCAAAAAAATCAAAAAAAGTCAATCCCAAAAGTCAAAGTCAAAAAAAGTCAAATCAGAAAATTTCAGAAAGTCAATAAACAATCAATTTGCGCACATCCGACCTTTTTTTACTCTTTTTCGTTTTTTTTAACACCCTTTTTTTGGGTGGGGGAGTTTTTTTCAACTTTTTTTGGTGATTTTTTCGATTTTTTTGTTTTTTTTACTTTTTCGAGCTGTGGTCTATGTCTATGGTTGATTTTTTCGATTTTTTTTGACCTTTTATTTGATTTTTCTTGATTCCAGTAATCCGCCAAGGCAAGGAGCCACGTCTTTTTTTGATTTTCTTTTTCGACATTTTTTTTGGACTTTTTGTTTTTCGGACTTTTGTTTGACTTTTTTCGAGCTGTGGTCTATGGTTGACTTTTTTTTTGATTTTTTTTTCGACTTTTAAACTTTTCAATTTGTTTTTTGACTTTGACTTTTCCAGTTGACTCTTGTTTTGATTTTTTTGATTTTTTCTAAAATCACGGATTCTGGCCTTACCAGTAGTCACTACACACTGCGGGGTTCAAGGCCCCTTACTCGGCTTCAGGTGTTTGTATCGGTACATATATATACTCAACGCTCTCACCACCTCTCGTTTCCGGACCTATAGCTTTCGTCACCAACCCCCGGCCTCAAGTTTGTGCTTGCAATTTGTAAGTGGCTGGGCTAATGCAGTTGTTCTTTGTTGGAGAGCGCCAGCCAGGCCGACTGAGGTGGAAGGTTCAGGATCTGCGCCGTAGGAAGAGATCCATCATTGAACTCGCTGAAACGCGCAATTTGGTGGAAGAGAAAATTGAAAATTTTCTGTAGGACAAACTTTGGTGTGCTTGGGTGGGGGTCAGGGTTGCTTGTGCCATTTTGGCTCAAGCCCTGACCCCCACCATGATGAATTTCTGGTGGGGGGCGTTCGCGGTTGCCTGGACGCTCGATGTACCCCGCAGCGGCGGCAGCCATGGAAATGCGCTCCCTTGTGGAGCTTCGCGATCATTTTGGGGTGCCTGTGGACCTATGGCAGGCCTTCATCACGGAAGCCGGGAACCCGCAGGAGGACATTCGACTTCTGGCGGCCTTGCCGGGCACGTTGGTGGCAGCAGCTTTGTCCCAGGCGGTGCTGCCGGGCGATGTGCGACTGTCTGCGATCCAGGCAGCCCAAGTGGGATTGGTTTGGAAGCTGGCGAGACGCCTCATGTTCGTGAAAGGGGGCGGCCAATGGGACGAATGGATGGAGGAAGACCCATGGTCATCTACACCAACCTCACCAAGCAAGGCATCAACGAAGAAGGAGAGTTCGAGCCCCGGGGAGATCACCAAGGAGTCGAAGGAGAGGACCCTGAAGTTCACCCAGGTGTTGGACCAAGGAGACGATGGGGAATTCGAGGTGCTCAACGAGGAGGACAAGATGGTTCTACTCCAACGGTATGTCAACTCGACAGGAGCCATGCCAGAGGAAGAGGAGGAGCCGACCATCGAGCAGCTCTCAGCCTTGAAGAAGAAGATAGCCTTGGGCAAACCGCCCTACTGCGACTTCGGTGTCTTCGTTCCTTTCGGTCGGAAGGCCTTGAGGGCTTCGAAATACAGGACATGGATCCCGACGGCAGAGGGGTACGTGTCGAAGGAGCTGCCGGGGCCGGCAAACTTTACACAGTGGAGGGCTTGCTACAGGGTGTTCACTACGGCCATGTTGATGCTACAAGAATGTGCGCTGGCCCCACTACACGCGTACGAGCTCTACGTAGAGAAACTGACGAGGCTCTATCCCGATGCTTGGCACTTGGTGTACTCGGCCGACGAGATGGCGAGGTCAGAGCTGTTGTCACGACTCCGCATCAAGATCAACCTGGACCAGAAGGAAGGCAGGCCAATACCCCCGCTCTTCGACGAAAGAAAACCGTGGGAAACAGTGTTCAAGATGATCCCGGGCGAACTGAGGCCATCCGATGTCAGACCAAGAAGTGAAGCCCTCGGGAGACAATGAACCAGGCGGTGACGAAGGGAAGAAGGAAGAAAAGAAGGAGGAGGGAGGTGAACAAGGTGGACACAAAGAAGGAGAGGTCAGCGAGGAGGCAAAGAAGAAGTTGGAAGAGAAACTCAAAGCCTACATCAAGAGAAGGAAGTTTCGATTTGTACACCACTTCGCAGGACCTCGAGACCCGTTGGGAGCCGAGATTCACAGGGTGGCGAAGAAGAAGGGCCTCATCGTCGAAGTCATTGCGGCGGAGAAGGACTGGCGGGACGATTTGTGCGCCGACGAGCCCTACAATTCGCACCTGCGCTGGGCCCGAGAAGGTTTGATCGATGGGTATCATGCTGGCTTCCCTTGCTCGACGTTCTCACGCTTGAGGTTCAGGGCGGGTCCAAACCTTCCGGAACCTGTACGTACCCGAGCTGAACCATACGGACGGAGCTCAAACAACGAGCAGCAGCGCAGGGAGTGCGACAGAGGAACAGTGAGGATGGCGCGCTCCGTTCAAATGGCAGAGGAGGTGATGAAAACACAGACCTCCCTCATCGTCCCGAAGGTGACCACGCTCGAGAACCCGCCGCCATCGGAACTGGAGGAGCACGTGTCGGCTTGGGGTATGGCTGAGGTCATTGGCTACTTGAGACTACCTGGCATCAAGATCTCCTTGTTCAACACGTGCGCCTACCAAGCAGACAGGGCCAGAGGAGACCGTCACTGGAAGATGCAACAGTTCGCGGGCTCACTCTTTGGCATCGAAAGCCTCAACAGGGAGTGCAAATGCGGCAATAGCAGACATCGACCGATCATCGGAAAGAAGGAGTCTCGAGAGTCGGGCGAGTACCCTTGGGCGCTTTGCAACAGCTATGCACTACTCCTCATGGAGCACTTCGAGAAGATGGCCACGGCGGAGTACTTGGAGGGCAGGTTGAAGGACGAGGAACAGTTCCATGACGGGGCAGCCACCAGTGATGCAGCGGCAACGCAGATGAGAGAAAAGAGGAGGAGGGAAGGGGTCCGCTACTCACCAACGCCGGAGGAGGAGAGGCAAGAAAGAAAGGGGAGGGAAGCAGGAGAGGAGTTGAAAAGGAGGAAAATGGATGAAGAAGGTCATGGAAGTTCTCGACACGACGAAGGTGGGAGGAGCAGAGAAGAAAGGGGGAGGAGCAGAGAGAGGAGGAGTCACGACCGGAGGAGCGGGAGGAAAGAGCAAGACGTGAGAGGGAGAAGAGAGAAGCAAGACGGGAGGTCCGAGAAGAAGGAAAGGTCGAGATCCAGGGGGAGCCCAAGAAGGACCGATAAAGGGAAGGAAGGGAAGGCGAGTGCGGCAGGGAAGATGGAGAAACCAAAGGACCCAAAGGACCTGAGATGGAAGCCGGGAGAAGGAAAGTATGGACTGATGAAGGAGGAGAAGAAGAAGGAACAACAGCTCAACCAGCAGGAATTCGTTGGGGGAAGTGGTAGAGGGCCTTCCAACGCTGCAGAACTTGGGTAGAAGAATACTGGGAACGCTTCCTCGGACTGTACCCGGCAGCAGTGAAGGTGGGCGAAACCTATGGATCAAAAGACTGCCAATGGGACGACAGGCTGGTGAAGAAGTGGAGGGAAGAGCTGAAGATGTTGACGGGGGCGAAGGGGGAATCCACTGTCGAGCAAGTGGTCCTTCAAGTCACCGTTGCAAGGCAACCTCTTCGAGGCTTGGGGGCGCCGAGGAAACGATCCCGAGACAGAGGTCCCGAAGTGGATCAAGGAAGGGGTTCCGCTGGGAATCAACAAGAAGATCGGGACATGCGGCATTTTCCCTCCAACGATCAAAGAGGACCTCCCATCGATGCAAGGAGAGCTGCAGGCGGTGCAAGGCCATGCAAGGCCTCAAGGAAGACATCGCCAACTACATCTCGGTGTTGGAACAGGAGGAGGACGCCAGCGAGGAAATTGGGAGGTTGACCAAGCTGGGCTACGTTATCAAGGTGCCCAAGA